GTCTCTGATTCCATCCACGAGCCACTGGTAGGGAGCAATTTTAACTAGGTGGATTGTTTTAATATTTAAAAAGTGAAGACTATTTTATGTTATTTTTATGTACGTTTCTTCACAAAACTATATTTATAATTTTCTTTAAAAGTATATTCATACAATTGAATATTTTATACCAGGTATGTATAATTGTATATCATCACACATTTTATTTTAACAAGTAAGTTCTTATAATTTTATTTTTAATTTTAGCCCTTATATTATTGCTAGCAATTTAGAATGTAATTGCGATATCGAAAATTTATTTCAAAAAGTTTTGGCTCGAGACCATACAATGAAAAAAAAATTTGTTCGACATTTTCATGATAAAATTTATTAAGATATAAAATGGCTTTGCGGATGCATAAAAATGCAAAATATGTTTTGTTGGCCTTGTCTACTATTTTCAAATAAAATTAGTGTGTAGAATGAGATTGGCTTTGACGATTTAAATAATTTGAGTAAAGCTGGCAAAAGACACGAAAATCCTAAATCTCGCATCGATTCTTTCGTGAAATTGAATCAATTTGAAAATCAAAATAAAATAGAATTTAACATTAGTACACGATATAAAATAAGTATTGAAAATTATAACGAGATAGTTACGGCTAATAGATATATTTTAATTAGTAGATGTTATCGAAGCGAGAATTGTCATTTAGAAAGCGTATAGAATCTATTAAATCTAATATAAGAGAGTTAATTATATTGAATTTGCTTATTTATTAAGTGCGTTAGATAATCTATTAATTAAAAATACATTTAGAGAAGTCTACGGTTTTTACTGGCTTATCGAACAAACGAATACGAATGGACCCTAGACCATCGCTGACTGATTGCCCCTGGAAGTCGGCTTTTCATAGAAAAACAGCTTCTCTACCACCAAATGTCACGGGACGCCACTGCAATACAATAGTACTTTTTATCAGCAGTTTTGGAAAATTTTGCATACATTTGTTATTTATTATATGTTGTAAACAAAAATTTTTGCGCAAATTATTTTTGAAAATTTTGTGAAACAATTTATGAACAGTAGATAAAGATAAAAAGTAACTATCAGCTGTAAATTTATTGTAGTTTTTTCCATATTCAAATAATAAATATATAGTAGTACTAATTATCTGATTTAAATGGTATAAAAAATGTGATATGTAATTTAAAAGTTATGAAGATTTGTGGTTTAGTGTTAATTTTCAAGATGCGAAGTGATTCGTCACAATTTGTAACTTACAGATTTAACTTCTCATTATTTTAAAGCTGCAATTAGAAAATATGTTTTCAAATTTTTATATAAAAGTCAAATTATTTTATTAACTTAATGTGTGAAATTTTTATGCTTTACGCTGTTTTTACCATTATATTAAAATTTAAAATTAATAATTTTACTTTATGTTTTTATTTTTTAATCTTTTCCTATCAAGTATGATCAACTACCAGAAAAGAATGAAAATTTTTCTTTATCAGACATTTTTCTATTGATGTAAATTGATGTAACTGGATAATTACAAAAATTGAACTATATTTTAATTCGAAGTAATTTGAAACACAGACAAAATATTTAACATAAAGACAGGTATTTGTCATACACAGCAATTTCGCTCTAACACAATTTAAAAATTTAAAAACAATTTAATTTACTTAAACTTAAATACTGTATGAAAAAATTTTTAATGTGATAAATAAATAAAATGCAGTAAAGAGTAAACAATAGTATTATTTTAAACCAGATTTAATAACAATAACCATAATACATTTTATTCTCATAAATTTTAGTAAAAAAAATGTGAATTACAATTTACGAGTAAAGTTCAATGATACGTAAAATTATTTCGATACAGTTTTTAAATGCACTCGTCTAGATTATATGATATAGCCTTTTGTTCATACATATTTGTAATAAAAATTACCCCAACGAAATTTCATATCTTACAACTTACATCTTTTTTCTACACATATTCTTATACCTAATATTGGGGTCAAAATACTTTCAAAACTAGTAACGATCTTATCTTGAGGGTCCAAAGAGTAAATTTTAAAATTTCGAAGAACATTTGCTAAAATTGTTTTCATTTTAATCATTGCACCTTTACTTGCTGTAAATAAATAATTTTAATGACATAATTCTTTGTTTTTGTATTTATTTCATAAATACTTACCGAAACAATTTCGTGGACCGGCAGAAAATGCCAGAAATGCATAAGGGTGAAGATTTTTATAGTTTTCAGGTAGGAACCGGTCTGGATCGAATATTTCGGGATTTTCGTAAACAGAAGGATTATGATGAATACCATAGATATTTATGACAAGAGTCGAATTTGCAGGCAACACGTAATTACCTATTTAAATAACGACGATTCAATGCTTAAAATCAATAGCAAATNTCTTTCGTAAAATTGAAGCAATTTGGAAATCAAAATAGAATAGAATTTAACATTAGTACACAATATAAAATATATATTGAAAATTATAACGAGATAGTTACGGCTAATAGATATATTTTAATTAGTAGATGTTATCGAAGCGAGAATTGTCATTTAGAAAGCGTATAGAATCTATTAAATCTAATATAAGAGAGTTAATTATATTGAATTTGCTTATTTATTAAGTGCGTTAGATAATCTATTAATTAAAAATACATTTAGAGAAGTCTACGGTTTTTACTGGCTTATCGAACAAACGAATACGAATGGACCCTAGACCATCGCTGACTGATTGCCCCTGGAAGTCGGCTTTTCATAGAAACACAGCTTCTCTACCACCAAATGTCACGGGACGCCACTGCAATACAATAGTACTTTTTATCAGCAGTTTTGGAAAATTTTGCATACATTTGTTATTTATTATATGTTGTAAACAAAAATTTTTGCGCAAATTATTTTTGAAAATTTTGTGAAACAATTTATGAACAGTAGATAAAGATAAAAAGTAACTATCAGCTGTAAATTTATTGTAGTTTTTTCCATATTCAAATAATAAATATATAGTAGTACTAATTATCTGATTTAAATGGTATAAAAAATGTGATATGTAATTTAAAAGTTATGAAGATTTGTGGTTTAGTGTTAATTTTCAAGATGCGAAGTGATTCGTCACAATTTGTAACTTACAGATTTAACTTCTCATTATTTTAAAGCTGCAATTAGAAAATATGTTTTCAAATTTTTATATAAAAGTCAAATTATTTTATTAACTTAATGTGTGAAATTTTTATGCTTTACGCTGTTTTTACCATTATATTAAAATTTAAAATTAATAATTTTACTTTATGTTTTTATTTCTTAATCTTTTCCTATCAAGTATGATCAACTACCAGAAAAGAATGAAAATTTTTCTTTATCAGACATTTTTCTATTGATGTAAATTGATGTAACTGGATAATTACAAAAATTGAACTATATTTTAATTCGAAGTAATTTGAAACACAGACAAAATATTTAACATAAAGACAGGTATTTGTCATACACAGCAATTCCGCTCTAACACAATTTAAAAATTTAAAAATAATTTAATTTACTTAAACTTAAATACTGTATGAAAAAATTTTTAATGTGATAAATAAATAAAATGCAGTAAAGAGTAAACAATAGTATTATTTTAAACCAGATTTAATAACAATAACCATAATACATTTTATTCTCATAAATTTTAGTAAAAAAAATGTGAATTACAATTTACGAGTAAAGTTCAATGATACGTAAAATTATTTCGATACAGTTTTTAAATGCACTCGTCTAGATTATATGATATAGCCTTTTGTTCATACATATTTGTAATAAAAATTACCCCAACGAAATTTCATATCTTACAACTTACATCTTTTTTCTACACATATTCTTATACCTAATATTGGGGTCAAAATACTTTCAAAACTAGTAACGATCTTATCTTGAGGGTCCAAAGAGTAAATTTTAAAATTTCGAAGAACATTTGCTAAAATTGTTTTCATTTTAATCATTGCACCTTTACTTGCTGTAAATAAATAATTTTAATGACATAATTCTTTGTTTTTGTATTTATTTCATAAATACTTACCGAAACAATTTCGTGGACCGGCAGAAAATGCCAGAAATGCATAAGGGTGAAGATTTTTATAGTTTTCAGGTAGGAACCGGTCTGGATCGAATATTTCGGGATTTTCGTAAACAGAAGGATTATGATGAATACCATAGATATTTATGACAAGAGTCGAATTTGCAGGCAACACGTAATTACCTATTTAAATAACGACGATTCAATGCTTAAAATCAATAGCAAATATAAAATATTATTGGAAAACAAATTGCAAGATGTTGAAGAATTACCTATTTTCATTTCCGATGGATTTTTTCTGGCAATTAAAGGAAAAGGAGGATAGATTCTCATCGACTCCTGAAATTTTTAACATATAAATGTAATCTTTAAGTGTATTTTAAAAAATTAAAAAGTTACCTTAATTACGCATTCCAAGTACGTCATTTTCGTCAGGTCATCGATAGTAATATCCCTATTGAAATCATTTTTGAAAATTTCTTGCAATTCTAGATACACTTTCTCTTGTATTTCGTGGAATCTTCCCATGAAATAAAGAGCCCAGGATACAATGTTGGCGGTTGAGTCGTAACCCTGATATTAAAATACGTTAAAAATAAATATAATGTTGCTTTTTATATAATTTACATTTGCAGTAAAATAAATACTGTATAAAAACTTGCAAAATTAGCATATGGCATGCACCAATACCGCTATTCTTTTATATTCCTGTCATACCACTTTATAATCAGTGTTGCCGTTCCTAGTACATTTGTATTTTTCTGGTACATTTTGCCCTTTCCAGTAAATTGAAAGTACATTTAGATTTTTAGTACATTTTCAGTACATTATAATATTTCAAGTACCATTTACGGTACAAAATAATATTTCACGCCTTAACGAAAAAATGAGAAAAATTAGTTTAATAAAGTCTCACTAGTGTCACTGCTTGCTAATTTAAATTATCCAATCACAACATACAAATGGTGTGTGTCCGTC